CGATCGGTACAGCGATGGAGTGTGCCGAGGAGGGAGGGGATATTAGGGCGACACTGTGACACTGTGACACTGACACTGACCGTGACGATGACAGTGATAGTTAGGCGTTGGAAGCGTGGATGAATTAACGCATAGCAGACATCAATTATGTGTCGTCTGCTTGCCACACTGTTTTATTTTCTTTTCCAAATCAGGATGCTTCCCATGTGACCATTCACCACCACCACCACCACCACCACCACCACCACCACCACCACCACCACCACCACCACCACCACCACCACGACGTGTAGGTTGCGAGCCTGCATCACGCACCCTCGCCTGTTTGCTGATCTGTGCGCTGGTCTGAGTGCCGGCAATTACGACCTTCTCCATTACTGGGCCGCTGTTGGCGACACGGGCGAACAGGTGTGGCATTGCACCAAGGGGTCATGGGTTTGTATGTGTGTGTGTATGTGTGTGTGTGTGTGTGTGTGTATGTTAGTGTGTGTGTGTGTGTGTGTGTCTTGTGTGCATATTTGGCACCACAGCAGCTCCGCTCCTCACCACTGCGCTGTCTCGATCCCTTTTGATGACAAGATGGCGGATGCGTACATGAAGAGTTTGGACGCGCAGCTGTCGGCGGCAGAGAACGACGACGACCTCACGGTACTGGTGATGGTGGTGGTGGTGGTGGTGGTGGTGGGGCAGCTGCACGCGGAAAAAGCCACCCGACTCATTGTTCACGTTCTCTTCCTTTGCGCCCAACCCCTTCCCCACTCAACCAATCGACACAAACCACCTCTCTCTCCATACACGATCATGCCATTTCAGGAGATTGCGACTGCTGCAACGCGCATTGGCCAATATCTGGCGGAGGCGGGGCACTTCAAGCACGCCGTCAAGCCTTTCCAGTCAGTGACGGAAGTTCAGGGAGGGCGGTGTATGTGGTTGTTTGTGTGTGCGTGTGTGTATGTGCTTGTTTGCGTGTGCGTGTGTGTATGTGGTTGTTTGTGTGTGCGTGTGTGTATGTGCTTGTTTGTGTGTGCGTGTGTGTGTGTGTGCTTGTTTGTGTATATGTGTGTATGCTTGTGCACAGCAGCTTTATTCACACATACCACAGTACCATCGCTTCTTAACACGCCTGCAAGACATGGGTTTGTTCGTTCCATCTCAACCAATGCCGTCCTTCACCATCAACTTGTGCCATGTTGCCTGCAGGCAAGCGTTGAAATTGAAGGAACGCGTGTACGGGCGGGAGAGCGAGAAAGTCGTCGACACATTGGCGGATTTGGGCCGGCTCTGCTTCACACAGGTCCGTGATTGATGTGTTGTTACGAGTTGGCCTGAGGCAACACACGAAGTCGATCGTGAAGAAACACACACACACACACACCAGAAAACACGCACTCCACACTTGCGCACCTCGTACACGCTCCACACACACACACACACACACACACACACACACACACACACACACACACACACACACACACACACACACACACACACACACACACACACACGTACGCACACACACACGTACGCACACACACATTCACGTACTCACTCACTCACTCACATATTCACACACTTGCGCACAACATACACACCCTCATACCACATGCATCCCTGTACTCACCGTTGTCTCCCTTTGTCTCCCACACAGGGCGATGCGAAGAGCAGCCATGCGCTGTACACGCGCGCGCTGAAGATTGCGCGAAAGTGTTTTGATGCGGACGATTTGTCCGTCATCAACATTGAGATTGGATATGCGTCCGTGTTGAAACAGCAGGAGGACTTTGATGCCGCTCTTCAGCTCTACAAACACGCTCTCAAGGTGACTCGATGGTGTGAAATAGCGCGCGCGCGCGTGTGTGTGTGTCAAGGTGTTATTG